AAAAAAGGTCAAATGGGGAGGGGGAAGTTCCTGTCCTAAAGCCCCCTTTTATTCCAGTGAGATCAAAGGAGTTACTCTGTGGCAAAGGCTTTGACGGTATTAACAAAAGAGAAATAATTCCGGAAAGGGCTTGAGAGAGGGCAAAGGTTTATCTGTCAAGTAGATTTTCAGCCTTCCCGTGTCCCAAAGAGCTCACGCTATCCTATCTGGTTCCCTATTCCCCACAACAACTCTGCGAGGTAGGATAGGAGAAAGTGACTGGCTCAAGATCATCCAGCGAGTGTCACGGCAGGGCAGGGAGCTGAACTCTGGCTCTCCCCGATCCTAATCCTCCTACCCCTGTACCACACCGCCTTTCCACTGGGGCGCATAGGAGTACTCTGAAGTAAGAACCTTGAGCAAGAACGAGATCATACGTGTGTGCGTCCTCGGCATGGGAAAATATAACTCAAGCAACCCTCAGGACGCCTACTGAGGAGTGAACCGTACTGGGCCGGAGTGGGGCTTAGTACTGCCGAGGAGACACGCCTAGGACCCGGCGACAGCCTGAAACGACCGTATTGCTAAGGGGGCGAGCCCCACTTTAGTTCGGGGGTGGACGGCCCTGGTGGCGACCACCGTGGCGCCCAAGATGTGGCTCCGGAGGAAGTGCTCCAAGCAAGGCAGGAATGGAAACGCGCGGCTGCTGGGCGGGCAGAGCAGAGAGGCGGCCGTTCCCACCGCCACCGCAGCCGGCGAGGCCGGCCCCGAGGACGCGAGGCCAGAAGGCGGCCGCTTCACTACCAGCGTCACCCCCCTTCTCTCCTTCCCCACGCCCGCCCGATCGCCCCAAAGAGCGGCTGCTGCACCCCGGGGCCACTTACCTGGCGGGAGGCGCGGGCAGCTGCTGGCTGGCGCTGGGGGCGCGTCTGCTGCAAGGGAGCAGGCGGGGGAGGGGGGGGGGGGGGGCCGGGGGGGAAGGACGGGGACATGAGGGGGGGGGTACAACGCCACGGAGGCCCCCCTCCCTCCAAAGCATCTTTTTTCCCCAGGGGAGCAGACCTCTGTAGTCTGGAGGGGAGTTCTGATTCCGGGGGATCCCCAGGCCCCGCCTGGAGGCTGGCGTCCCTACCCAGTGACCGGCTGGCAGGCTGTGTCACAGAACTCGTGAGGGACGACTGGAGAGGCTCCACTGCCGCTGCTCCACAACCCCGGATCCTTCCTGATCCTCCTGTGCCAGCTGGGCTGCTGGCCAGGAAGCCCGACGGCCCCTCCCCATAGCTCCCCCCTCTGTCCAGCAAGGGTCTGGCCCAGACTCTGGGCCCCCTCCCGCCCGCCAGCGGGTTCACTCTGGGAGCCGGAGCCGGGGAGGTCTCCCCTTCCCTCCCTCCCTCCTTCCCCAGCCATGCGCGGGTGCGCGGGCAGGCACTGCTGCACATCAAAGGGCCAGGAAGGAGCTGCCGCCTGCCGCTGAGCCAAGCCGTGCGGCCCAAGTGGGCCTGACCCAGGGCAAGCCAGCTGCTGGGAGCAGGGGAGCAGCCCTTTCCCACAGTCTGGGGCACCAACACACACACACGCATTCCAGCCAGCCTTGGCCTGCTGACAAGACGGCCTCCCAGCGGCTGCTGGGAGCTGCCGATTAGCGTGGCCTGGCTTTGGCACCGGCCTGCTGGGTCCGTGCCCGAGGGAGGAAGCCGGCCAAGGGGGCCCACTCCGCCACTCCTGAGCAGCAGAGACTGATCCGCTGAAAGGTTCGCTCAAGCGAGCCACTTCCTTGGCTTGGCACCGCTCCCTCCAGCCGAGACCTTTCCGCTGCTGCTGCTGCTGCTGCTGGGCCCGGCCTGCTGCTTTTCACAGGAAGAGGAAGGACACATCCATGAGCAAGTGGGAGGGGGGAGGCACTCCAGCTCAGGAGGGTGTTGCTGGGAGGGGGGGCCCTACGTGACCGACTCTCCTTGGCACCCCCGCAGTGAAGGCTCCGGCTGACGTTCCCTGACGGGGATCCACAGAGTCCAAGGGTGTCCTTGTGGAAGAGGGCTGAAAGAGCAGAGAGGCGGGGGACCTGAGGCCCGGATGGCCCAGACTGGCCCTCTCTTCTCAGGCCCCGGAAGCTAAGCAGGGTCGGCCCCAGTCAGTCCTTGGGTGGGAGACCACCAGGGGAGTCCAGGCCAGCGATGCCGTCCGCTTCTTTCCTTGCAAAACCCACAATGTTGCCATCCGTCAGCTCTCTCTCTCTCTCAGAAGAAAAAGTGTGCTTATACCTGGAATAAAACATTGCTGGTCTTCTAAAAAGTCCCATGAGATTCCATCCCCCCCACAGCTCTTTCTCTCCCCCTCCCTCCACAGAGGAGGAGGGGGAGGAGCCCTCAGCCAGTTGAAGGGAGGCTTCCTTTCTCTCCTCCGAAGCAGGAACTAGGAGAGACTGGCCAGAAGGTGCTGCAATGTAAGAAGCAGGAAGCAACACATAGCCAGTTACTCTCAAGATGGATTGGGGCCTTGCAGGGGCCAGATCTGGCCCTGGGCCATATATTTGACACCTCTGGTCTAGCACATTTTTATTGCAAGCGAAGGACTTTGCACTGTCTCTTAGACTTCAGAGGTGGACTATAAGAGAGTCAGAGAGATAGGTAGGCCAGGACCCTGATCATCCTTCCCTCTCTGCTGCTCTGATGCTATCCATTTGATGTGTAAATTGCTACTCTTAGGGAATCTTCCTTCCTTCTGGCTTGACACCTTCTCTCCACACTATGCTAGCTTTTCTCCATCTTGGCACTATGAGGGCAGGATATGTTTCCTGCATTTCTATCCATCCTAGCTAGTTAGACTAGATTAGAATCCTATCTCTACTCAGTCCTGTCTAGAATGGAGTTCTTTCCAATAAAGGTCTCATATTAGTTTTGCAAAGATAAAGAGGCTCCGTTGTCAGCATACACAAGCCAGATAGACTGCTGTGTTACGTGCCTTGAGCACTCTGCTAACCCAAATAATCCTTCAGTTTTTACTCCACCTTTCATCCAAGGAACTCAGAGCCATACACATGGTTCTCCTTCCCCCATTTTATTCTCACAACAACCCTGTGAGGTGGGTTCAACATGGATGACCAACAGCTCAGCAAGGCCATCTGCAGGTAGGGTAGAGGTCTCCGTCTTTCTGTTCTCCCTTCCCCGTTTTATCTTCACAGCAACCCTGTGATGTAGGCAAGGCTGAGAGAGAGTGATTGGCCCAAGATCACCCTGGGAGTTTATGGCAGAATTTAATCCTCTGCTTTCTGGATCCTAGTCCAATGTGAGGCATGTTCACATATTACACTACAGTATGCATGTACATGCATACATCTGTAGGAAAGTATGAATGCACAGATGCTTTAAAAACAGAGCTAATGTGTGGATAAATGTGGGGTTTAAATTACATGTTCAGATATACATGCAGTGACTGGAATGTAAACATTATTACATTATGCACATACCAAAAAAAAAAAAAAATCAAGCATACTGATGGATTGTACATGCATTCACTGTAACAGACATGGCTAATCTGCTGTGGACTGCTTAAGAGCAGCCGACTATAATCTGGAGAACCGAGTTTGATTCCCCACTCCTCCACATGCAACTGCTGGTGTGCCTTATACTAAACTATCAAGGTCAGTAGTGTCAGCAGCACTCTAGGTTCTTGGGGAGAGGCCTTTCACATCACCGCTTACTTGATCCTTTTAATGGGAAATGCCAAGAATTGAACCTGGGAGGGCCAAGCAGGGGTTCTACCACTGAGCCATGGTCCCTCCCCTATGGGCTCAGTCCAGTCCTCCAGATAGAATATCTGTTCACAGGAGGCACAGGAGACATTCATGGAAGGCCACAATGCAATTGTCTGTCCAGTTTCCTCCATAGCGATTGCATTTAAAAACCTGATCGATACATTCAAGTACACTTGGAATGGCATGTCTGTGTTGCTCACCTCTAGATTAACCAAAGAAAAGAGACTCAGAAGCACTGTAAATGGCACCCCTTCTTCTCTGCTCTTCTCTCATGCAGTAAACAAAACCTCAGCCTTTTCGCCTTCACTCCACTCATGGGCTACACATAAGTTCCCCCAACAGGAGCAAGGAGTAGTAGTAGAAGAAGAAGATATTGGATTTATACTCTGCCCTTCAGAGCAGTTTACAATCTCCTTTCCCATCCACTCCCCACAACAGACACCCTGTGAGGTAGGTGGGGATGAGAGACTTCTTTTGAGAACTGCCCTTGAGAGAACAGCTCTGAAAGAACTTGTGACTGACCCAAGGTCACACCAGCAGCTGCATGTGGAGGAGTAGGGAATCAAACCCGGTACTCCCAGATAAGTTGGTCCAGAATGCCGCAGCTCGGCTGTTACCAGGAGCTAGGCAGAGCATGCCGGCTATTACTCCCATTTTACAGTCACTCCACTGGCTACTCATCAGTTACTGGGCCCAATTTAAAGTATAGGCTATCACATACAAACCCTTCAGGTTGATGTAAAATAATACGGGACTGAGGATCAGCTACAAATGCTGTCTTGAACTGCTTGGAGGAGGCTGACTATTGAAAAGGCAGGGTCATTATGGAAAGAGAGGCAGACGCTCATTGCTAAGTCATAAAGCGAAAGACCTGACAAGTACACAGTTTCAGTCACAGTGCTTCGGATGTGCTACAGGGGGTTTGCTGCCCTCTGGTGTTGCTTTTGTGCATCTACCGTATATTTGTAAATAAATAAAATCTTGCTGAGTCTTCAGTGCTCTCTCTTTCCAAGGGAACCAAATTGGATAAACATTAGCCCCTGGACCCTCTCACCTTTTGCAGAAATGAGATAGGTGTGGTGATAAAATCAAAGCTTTCATATCTCAAGGGCTGAGGAAGTTTATTAAACAAGAAATTGAAATTTTGCTAATCTTATGGCAGAATGGAAGCCCTCAAAAGCCCATGCATTGTGGCATGTTTGCTTTCACACACACTAAATAACACACTTCCAATCCACTTTCAATGCACTTTGCAACTGGATTTTCTTGTATGAAACAGCAAAATCCACCTGCAAACAATCACTAAAGTCAGGGCTTTTTTTTTTGTAGAAAAAGCCCAGCATGAACTCATTAACATAGTAGGCCACACCCAATAGCAGAAACGTATTAGCATATTAGGCCACACCCCTGACAACACAGCTACTAAAGTGCACTGAAAGTACATTATTTAGCTTTTTTATTTTAAACACTATTTACATTATTTATAGTGTGCCTTTCTCACTGAGACTGAAGGTGGATTATACATAGTCAAAAGAATCAGCAGGATGGGACATTCAAGATACAATGAAATTGGATTTGGGTTGTAGAACCAACCAGAAATCTAAAAAACAACCGAAGCAAAGCATAAGTTTTTTAAAAAAAATTTATGGAAGAATTGTACAAAGATACAAAAAATATAACAATACAAACATCCAGAATGAGGAACAAGAAACAAGAAATCAATAGTATATGCATGAAGCCTGAGTAAGAACTACCATACCTTTAACTGTAATGAACCATAACTGTTTGAAAGATCCAAAAACCAACAGAGGGAAAACAAAACAAAAGAAACCAAAAGTGCGTGTGTGGGGGGGGAAGGGGTTATAGAACCGATAACAAGTAAACAGTTAGAATAATAGGATATCTAATTCAGAAGCATTTCCAAATAATTCTGGATTATAAAATGTATCCAGGGCTCTTTTTGGGCAGGAACGTACAGGAACGGAGTTCCGGCTGGCTTCCAAGTTGGCCACACCCAGCAGGAACGCATTAGCATAATAGGCCACACCCAACAGCAGAAACTCATTAGGATTGGCTACATTAGGGGTGTGTGGCCTAACATGCAAAGGAGTTCCTGCTACAAAAAAAGCCCTGGGTTTGGACAACAAACAAGGTAAACAGAATAAGAAGCAAAGGGTGGTTGT